TAAAAAAAAAAATAAAAAAAAAAAATAAAAAAAAAAAAAAGGAACATCCCAGACGTATATCAGGACCCGCATTATAAGTACACATGTGCCAAAGACAAAAAGGGCCAGAGATGTCAACAGTCCAGAGAGAAATAAGAAAAAGGAGCAGCAGAAGAAGAACTGCAAAAATAAGGGACCCCGTACTGCAAGGAGTAAGCAAGCACGAAACGGTGTGTAATATCCGGCCCATCGATAAGCTGGCTGCTGGTGGTTGTTGCTGGCGGTGCTGCTGCTGGCGGCCGGTGTTGTTGTTGTTATTACTATTTTTGACTAAGCGGCCGTCGACGTCGACGTCAACTTCATAAACCTCGACCTCCTTCGACTTCATCTCCGGTCTTTTTCCTCTCTGCCTCTGCTCCCTCGTATTTCTACTTCAATCCGCCTCAGCGCTGCTCCAAGTCATCACTACAGCCCTCCTAGAAGAATTCCCTGATTGTCTACCTCGAGTCTGCCTTTCCTGCAGGTCCCCTTCACGTGTATCCATCCGCCATAGACATAGGAACTGCTGTGGGAAGACGAAGCAGAGGACAGCAGAAGAAGACGACAACGAGGGAGAAAAAGAAAAGAAACGACCTCTGCCAGCAAACCCCGAAGCCCGACCAACAGCAGGTTCAAAAAGAAACAAAGCAGCAGCGGTTTGTCTTGTATTGGCTGAAAGACAGACGCAAGGCAGCAGACGACAGAGAGAGAGCAAAAGGAGCCATCCCATCCTAGAAGACTCGACTCTGGCGAGGAAGCCCCAGATAGAGCAGAGCCAGCAAGCAAGCAAGCCAGCGTTGACGAAAAGAAGCAAAAGGGGACGAAAAAGAAACCAAGACCACAGTCAAAAAAGGGAAGAAGGATAAGAAGAAAAAAAAAGCATGGTTCTTTTGCGTGCGCTGTGAATCTGATATCCGATCTGATCTGAACCCAGCCCGCCCGCATCCAACCATTACACGCGAAAGAGAGATCCGTCTGTACATTAAAAAGGGAGAACGATCTTTGTACGCCCTCGTCTCGACTCTCCTCCTCATTCATCCACCTGGCTGCTGGATTGGCCCCCTCCGCTGGCGTCTCCCCTTTCGATCTGGCCAAGATCCAGCCCGCCGGCCCAATTTTTGGCTACCGTGCTACGCTTTGGCCGTGAACCTGCAACAGCCCGTCAAAGCTTATACGGGGAAGTCTCTCTGAAATACTGTCACATATACACATCTATATACGTATATCGATCGATCTAAGCACACCTGGACCGTGTCTCCGTGTGTATATAAACATATACATCTGTACGTCTAGATACGGTCTCGATCCGTACGTCCGCCATCCAACCGATCTCATCTGGGGAAGAAGGAACCTTCCTTTCGCCGTCTCGACAAGCTGGCCTTTTTTTGTTTTTGTTTTTCTCCATTTCTCCTCCCTCTTGCTCCTCGAACTGGCGAGTGACAGCCCCCGGGTACTCGCAGCAACGGAACAGTGAGCAAGCAGAACCACCTCGTATCGCCGGGTAGTTCTGATACTGTTTCAAGTTCACCCTCGCCCCAAGCAAACCACTTTCAAAAAATATGAGCTCTGTCTTCCCTTGAGCCAAATAAGGTTGACCGATTACGTTATTTCCCGTACCTTCAAGAGCATATTTTAAAGTCGACTTTTAGCGCCGTGAAGCAATCCAAAAAGGAAGCAAAAGGGTGGAAGAAGAAATTAAACAAAAAAAAAAAAAAAAAAAGGAAATAACAACAGAAGAAAAACAAAACTTGCCGCTATCCAGAATCCATTCAGAGGCCATATACTATACACTCGATCCCCCCCCCCCTCTGCCTCGCTCTCTCTCTCGGAGAGACCAGCTGGGCTCGCACGCACCGCACGCGTGCCACTGAAAGAGCACAGCGGACTCTGACGACATAAAACAGACTCTGGTCTGGAGCTGCTCCTGTACCTGTACCTGTTCCAGTTACCGCCATTCGGATTTGCTCGTCTTCTGGTCCACGGGACGCCCGCTGCAACCGCACCTCTCAAAACCGATATCCTGCTACCCCTGGATTAAAACAGCTCTTGTTTTCTCTCACCACAACCCTGGTTTCTCCGTCTTCAGCGGCAAGCAAACACCCTGCTACATAGTCTCCCATGGCGACTGGACTCACTGCCTCTTCGTCTTCTACTCATCTCTTCCATCGACAGTCCTCCACCATGTATCACAGCAATCAGCCGCAATATAACTACTCTCCTCCCACTCACCACCAACCGCCTCCGCCATCGTCCAGGTCGTCGGCAGAGATATCTCCTTCGACTCGTCCGCATAGGCTGGCCGATGTTCCAGTTTCTTCCCACCCTCCTAGCGTAAAGTCGCTGCCATCTATCCACGAGGCACTCGGAAAGAGCAATCCTCTACCATACCCTCACCCTCAGCCGTCAGTATGCGGCCCCTCGCAGGCACCGGGTCACATTGCGCCTTCATCGAATCTCATGACTGGCCCAAGTGCGGAAGGGCCGAGTGGGCCATCAAACCCGTTCTCATCAACAAACTCCTCAGCCCCATCCCTCCGGGAATCCATCCTTAACTCACAGCATCACCCCTCTGCTCCATCTCAGTCCGAAGGCTCGATAAGGTCTCAGGACTCACAAACCCGCTCTATACACTCCATAGGGTCGGAGAAATCGTCTACAAGGAGCTCGGTTGCCGACAGAACATCAATATGTACCTCACATGCACCTAGCTTTGACATGCTATCTACGAGCTCGACTGCCGTCTCTTCGCCAACTAGCTATGTGTCACCAGTGAGCTACAACCCGCCCTCCTATTCATCACACCGCAGTGTCCCTACTTCGCAAACCTTCCCTCAACCGTCCTTCGAAAACAGACCTGCCCATTCGACATGGAACTTTGGCACTTCCGACCATACCTCAATAGAGGGGGTAAAGTCGATGCAGAAAAACAATGGAGGACAATACTGTGATGCAGTCAAAAGACACCTCGATGATTACGACGTTCGCGCATCTCTAAACGAGGTATTTAATTTCCCATTCCGTCATGTTGCTAGTTGACTCGTTCGAAAGAGAGAACAAAAAAACGGCTAACTTTAATATACAGGTCCGAGACACGAGTTCCCGGACGCTAGATATACTTCGCCCATATTCTCAACGTCCCCAGTCAGCTAGGGCAGAGTCAATCGATGCAGCTAGCTTGGTACCCTCGCTAGCTGAAATCGATGAGTTGCTCCACCTCCATCGCCACACGGCAGAGATTCTCGAAAGAATCCGTTCGGCCGCAATCTCCCATGAACACTCTCTAAACGAGCAGCGGAGTCACCAACAAATATTTAAAACAGAGCACACCCGCGAGAAAGAGCGGATGTCGATGTACGGCGAGGAGTACAAAATTGGTACCGTCTTGGCAAGTGGCAATAACACTCACATAATGAATGGTTCTAGCCTCGAAAAGAAGCGCAGGGTACGATGCACTTTCCCCTCTTCTCCACTAAGCATGATCTATCATCTTCATTCTACACTCAGTTCCGCTCTTGCTAATCTCCAAACTGTAGAAAGCCGCCCCACCTGGCCGATGTCATAGCTGCAATCGTGCCGAGACCCCTGAATGGCGCAGAGGACCTGACGGCGCTCGAACTCTCTGCAATGCTTGCGGTCTACACTATGCCAAGCTTACTCGCAAACAGGGCATGAACAAGACAGCCTCATCTACGTCTTCCTCGTCGCAGATGGCAATAGCTGCAAGTAATATTAGGCCCAGAGCTGGTGTCGGCCGATCACCACCTCTCCAGCCCTGATATCAACATGCAACTCCTGGAGATAAATCAATGTCACTTCATATCCTTCCTTGGTCCACTATATACCATACTATATATATTTGTGCGATGTATTTTTATACATATCTTGTCGGTCTTTTCTCCAACCATCCCCTCCCTCCTTTCTACTTTCTTACTGTCTTTTCCAAAACTGGGTGGTTCGGAAAGGTAAAAATAAACCTAAAGATTTATTTCAACATCAGGGGGCGTTTCTTGCTCGTCCTTATTGCACCGTTCGATTGATTTCTTGTCTCTTTTATTTTTATTTTATTATTTTTATTTTTATTTTTTTTTTTTTTTATTCGTTGCATGTCTATTTCTCCGGAATATCTGGAATACAGGGCCGTATGTATGCTGGGAATTGTCTCTTGTCACTTTGGAAACTGGAGTTACCAAATTTCTTTTACACACTTTGCATATGCGTGTTTGCTCTTTTACTTTGGCCTGTGTCTGCCCGATTATGCTCCTTGTTTTTTCTATCCTGTGGTTCCTGGATCTCTTTAATTTGTTGTCATATATACCCATTTACTATTAGCAGCTCTATCGAGAATTGGAGATTTTACCACCACGATAGATAAATCTACGTCCGAAAGCATCTCCTCTGTACCGTGTGCCATATTGAGAAGAACACAGTGAACGAACCCAGTGGCCAAAAAAGACAAAAAGTGGGTTTTCTGGCAAATAAGGTAATGACGGGTGCCTACCCGCCAACCTTATCTGAACCGTTATCCAACTTTCGTCCTCAGCCTGCCTCTCAACGTTTGCTTGAGCTTGATTGGCATCATAACAGTTAGGTATAAGCGCCAACTTGATTCGAAATGGTCTACGGTACATAGCTCCTCTTGACCCAACATAGCTTGACTTACCCGGCTTCCGGTCCCACGGGAATTCAGATTGCAAAAGCAACAATATCAGACAAGGCTGTGATGAAAATGCCTTGTGGAAACTAAATTAACTTAGGCAAAAAAAGAAAGAAGGAAGGAAAGAAAGGAGAAAGACAAAAAAATCAAACACGCCCCTTTCAAAGATGTTACTCCGTTCACATGGATATACTTAGGTGCCGAGAAACTCCACTGGAGCCCACCCCTCGAATCGCCCGCGATGCGTTGTCTTTTGACAGATGGAGCCTTCAGTGGCAATTTTGAAATATACCCTTAAACATGACTCACTTATATGCCTGTGTTCTCGAAAATTCTTCTAGTGGGGATTTTCGGATTCTCTGCATGATCTCCGGTCACGTCTTGAGATGAAATAACGAAACCTGCTCCGTGGGGTATGGATATTTTTCAAACTCGTGGAGAGTTAATCGTCATTTATTATCCTTGGGATTGCCCTATATATGGAGAACTTTGCTTACTAAAATTCCCTGGGGATGATCGGGTATTATCTCGCAACCGTCCTTAACAGGAACAACATCCATTACCATTAATGAACATCCAGATGCCGACTCGGGACGGAAAAGTGTCCCCTCTCAAGATTCAACGCGACATGTGGCTAAGACACCACCTCCTGCCAAAATTTCGTGTGTATAAACCCATGACCCGGCTCTTCCCAAGATTGTCTCATACATATTGAAGGGACCATTCAAATCTTTTCTGCAACGACCTTGACCCGGGGAATATTCCGGTCTGCCTCCTTCTCCCGTGGAATTTTCCAAGGTTACAGTTTTGGCCCTTAGATACGGAGTACGTTAGTTGAATATAGAATTTTGCAAGGCTCAGCTCTTCCAATCAAAATCTCTATGCGCTGTTCCGGTCAAGGGTGAAGGGGATACCCGACCCAACAACACTATATACCCTGACAAAGATGAAGATATCTTTCTTCCGTTGGTGGAAAAGCAGGGGTCTGTCAAACTCCCCGATGCGAATTTGAAAATCTGGAATCACGGAATTCGCTTTCGTATAAGGTAATGGATGCACACATGTTCCAGCATGGATTGGCTGGAATGGACATATGTGCCATCTCCGAACGCCTCCTCACCCCTATGACGTCTCAAAGAGAGCAAGAACCCGAAAAGGTAAGGTGAATGAATTACGTGATGATAACCCTTCATATCACCTACGATTGCAAAGGTAAGATTTGAATTGTACTTCCGAATAAGGGGGGGAAGTATCAGGAGAAGGAAGACATTGGAAACTCAGGAGTCGGACGCCGAAGATAGCCTGACACTCTTAAGCAATGAGGCGCTCTTCAGACTTGCGAAAACATTACCAAATAGTTTTGTCTCTCATATTCCAAAATTCCAACGACATGGAACGGGCACTGCAAGAATCGCAGTTGCATGTTTCATATAAGGTAGGCTCTCTGCCCCAGAATCTCGATAAGCCGGAAGTATTGAAGTCAAGCTACACGTGATCATATAAAATCGCATTGATGGTTTAGTGGTAAAATCCGTCGTTGCCATCGACGGGCCCCGGGTTCGATTCCCGGTCGATGCACTTTTTTTGCTTCTTTATTTTTTTAGCCGACGGAAGAATGACTTATAATTATTGATTAGTCAAAGCCGCCAACGAGTTATGAGTTGTATGTAGTAGTATATAATATATATGCACATATATAAATAAATATATAAATACACTGTGGTGTAACCAACGCCGCGGCGGACATAGGAGGTTAACGCGAGATGGAAAATGAATATACATTGAAGACTAGACAGCCTATATGCATGCTTATCCCTGTGTCTAATAAAGATGCAATTGAAGTAGCTATGAATTACAAGAAGTCCGCTGGCGCTTTCGGCAGACAATGCAAGACAAACAAACGAGAATTAAAATGAAAGAATAACAGGCGATAAATGCGCTCATATACCCTGGGATCAAAAACACACGCAGGCAGGCGGGCAGAAATGGGATGAAGTAAAGAAAAAAGAAAGACGGAAAATACGCGCTGGAGAAAAAAGTGTATGTAGAAGAAACGAAAGGTTGGACAGCGTGGGGGAAACGGGATGAGAAAGAAGAAAAGAATCATTCGCTTGGAATCCAACAAGCTGTTGTTGGATGCTCTCAGTTCCCGGATGCCGTGTGCTGTTCGTGTCTATTTTAATTGTAATTCGTCAAGGCGAAGATCTGAGGCTGACTCTGGGATTAGCCTTGGATCAGGCCCTCCGATTCTGCGGGTTGCATCTTCCATTTCCTGGGTGGTCACGTATTTGGTCGGTTTGCAAATGTCAGGGGTATGTTGGGGGACAGCTGGACTGTGGCCAATAGACATGCCCACGCGGATCTGGAGGTAAAGCTGGTTAGAATGCTATAAAGGAGGAGGAGGAGGAGGAGAGAGAAATAAGTAGAGGAGAGCTCGCCAACATACCAATGTTTCCAAGGCACCCTTGGAGTTATCGACCAAATCGGTGTCGAAGTTCATTCGGCCTGGCTCGAAAAGGACTAAAAGGGTACTTCCTCCGAACTTAAAGTATCCAAGTTCGTCGGTTCTGGAGACCTTTGCACCAGCCTCCTGAGTGATCACAGTGCTGCCGACCATCATTGCACCAACACAGATGACCATCACACGGCCATGAGCAACAGAGTCGATGGGGACGATGATTCGAACATTCTCGCCGTAAACGTCCAATGCTGAACGAATAGCCATTGGGTTCACGGTGTAATACTCTCCCTCAATGGTCTTGGGAGTGCCGAGAGTTCCATCAACGGGGATATGGAAGCGGTGGTAGTCTTGTGGAGCAAGACGGAAGATGCCGAGAGCCCCGTTCTTATAGCGCTCCACGTCCTCGGGATAAGCTTTCCCGAGAAGTCGTTCGATGGAGAATTCACGGCCCTTGACCCAGATCTGAGTGGCTTCAGTAATGCGATCGAAGACCACGGAGCGACAGTCAGCGGGAGATACGATGATGTTGGGATCATCGGGAGCTGAGCAGGGACGCGCGCCTGGTTTCAGGGCGCGGTAGAAGAATTCGTTGAAGGACTTGAACTGGTCTAAGGGGAGCAGCACTTCGCTCATGTCAAGTTGATGGAATTCAATGAATGCCTCAATTTGGCTAGACGAAGCAGGGTCATCATATTTCCGACCTTGCTTGATACTCAAGGATTTGAGCATTTTACGAACTGAAAAACAAGTAAGTTGGGTTAGCGGCTGATTATACTTGTGTGTGAGAATGTGAGGGGGTAGGTAAAAGCTGGCTGACGAACTTCTCTTCTTCTCCATTTCCCTGCTCTTCAATCCCTTGTACAGCAGTCGAATTCCCAATCGAACATATACGCTCATTTTCTCTTCGTTGATCTGCCCGGTCAAGCGATCCTGTACCAAGATGTTGGCCGAATTGGCGCCAATCTTATATCCTCCATAGGACAGCTTAGTGATGACTTTGCTGTACCATTTCCTCTGTGCCTGGCTGGAGGTTACGAAGCCACCCATGACCAAATTGTCTACCTGTCTCCAGTCCTGACTGGCACAGGTAGCAAGATGGGTGATGATATCTGCATCGGACCGCTTACCCAGCCGAGGCTGGTGGCATAGAGGACACTCGCGGATCTCAATGACATGTTCTTCGCCTCGCTCGTCAGTGAGGTCACCCTGAGGCGAGTTGATGCCTTCATCGCTTCCAGAAATCGATTCGTCGCGACTAGTTGTAGTAGATACTGTTGGTAGCTCAAGGTTAGTATGCGCAGGGTTCAAAGTCAGGCGGGTACCGCCGCCCCCAGCAGGGGTGAGGAGACCGTTATCATCCTCATCTTCTTCATCTTCACCATCGGGTAGGATCTCACTTTCTAACGGCCCTGAAGAGGACGATGGGAATTGCACTAATTTAGACATGGTGGCGCCCACCGTCTTCTTTTGCAACTCCTGAAGTTTCTCCTCAAGACAGATCACCGCCTGATCAAAAGTGAGATCCATGGTATCTCCGGTCGATTCATTTTCTGCAGCAAATCTATGGAAGAATCCGTCGATGGTTGAGTCTTTCAAAGTCGAGCCTAGGGTGTCGAGCATAGTGGTCAATTCGATTTTACTGATACGTCCGCTCTCGTCGGCGTCGTACTGTCGGAGCATGACGCGCCAGAACTGCTGCCTCAGAGCTGGATAAGGCATATACTTGGCTTTGATATGAAGTTCTGGGTTATGCTTGTCCTCCCACCTGTCTTTGTTCTTCAATGTGAGAGGTATAACGTAATGTTTAAATGCTTCTGTGTCGGGGTTAGTAGAAGGGAATCCAGTCTTGTCTGGAGAAGGGGGTGAAATGCTCCCCGGAACGTGCAGGGTAGCAGCGGAATCAGCTTGAGATGCAGTAGGGTTGGATGTTGGAGCCGGCTGCTGGTTTTCCTGCTGGTACTGGCTCGCTAACGAGGCAGCTGAGGATTTTGACTTCAGGGATGGTTTTGCCATCTTAGCGAGGTTCGAAGCTGAAGTAGAGCGAGATAGGGTGAGTCTGAATCTAGATTTGGAGGAGCTTTGAGGGGTAGTGGGCTCAACCGGATCCTGGGGAAGGTCGAGTAGTTCGTATAGGCCAGTCTCTGGGTCGGCTTCAGGGCCAGCCTGAATAAGAGTCTGCAGGGGGAAGTTTGTGGAGGCAACGAAGTCGTTTCCAGACAGCTTGTCTCTGTCAATGACGGTAAAGTTGATGGAGTAAGCTTGTTCATGCTTCATCACTTGGAATACCATCTTCTCGTCAAAGACTGGGTTTAGGTTATGACGAATGACACGGGTTCTCATGGTTTTTTTACCCAGAGAGGTGACCACGAACGGGTCCATGTCAAAGGATGTGCGGGTCACTATCGGATGTTAGTAGCCGTTTAATTTCTCCTGGTTCATAGGAAGAGAAATAAAAAAGTATGTTTAACGTACTATTTTTTTCCGGGGGTAGGTCAAGGACCTTGTTTATTTCAATGAAGACAATGCCAACCACGCCGTCTTTAGCTCCGCAGAATTCATATGCCCGTACGGCAATGGACCTTCGCTTGAGCCGAGCAACCTTTGACTTTTGTCGTTGCTGAGCAATAGCATCTGGTCTGGTCAGGTCCTCCCTTGAGCTCTCACCGACTTCCTCATTATCTCCGGACGTAGTTGGGGTAGCATCTTCTTCCTCGTCGTCACTGTTGCGGATGAGGTTCTTGAACTTTGAAAGGATCTGGTCTGGGGGAGCAGAAGGGTTGGAGGGGTCGACAAGAGAGAATTGCAGTTGAATCTGGCCGGAGACGTCGTTGTTCTTCTTGCTGCTTGTCTTCCATTTCGATTGGAGGTCGTACCATTGGGGCTGGAATGGCATTGTTAGTCAAGCACTTTTATATTTTCTGTTTTCTTTCGTTCCGCTCTCTCTCTCTCTCTCTCTTCTTTTTCTCGTATGGGGTAGCAATGAAATATAATAGTTTGACTAGAGGATCGGCATGCGTACCTCCTGCTGAACCTGGCCATTTGAGAATATATCTTCCAGTGCGATATCAAACTCGCCCATGTAATCCTTGCCAAACCTATCCTTATCCCAACAGACGCATTCGAGCAGCGGGACTCCAACAATCGGCAGATCAAAGCAGACGTTCCACTCTGGGTTCAGAGTCTTGCTGATTGTCGGGGTGGACTCTCTTGCATGACCTAACGTGACCACCAGGTACTGGAGAAGCGGGAGGTCAGGTTAGCTGGGGTATTCCAACAAGGGGATGGGGGGGGATTAGTCAAATTGCCTGTTAGACAGGGATTCACGTACGGGATCACTCATGCCATTCCTATCCTTTGCAGCTAGATTGCGGCCCTAGACGGTTAAAAAGATCAGCACCGGTGTAAGAGTAGATATCACAGCCTTACAGCCTGCCCCGGAAGGAGGTAATAAAGAGGTGGTTATCTGGGGCCGGACGTACGCTGATAACCTGTGTCTTTAAGATCAACGGGTATTTGGTCTCGGAGGTCCCGGTCGAGGAGGCAGAGAGGTCATCTTGAGAAGAAGCAGCGCCAATCTTAGGGGAACGGTTCCCACTGCGCCGGTGAGGAAGCGGTAGGCGGACCATCGTTGGGGCTGAAGGGAGGAGGAGGAGGAGAGAGACCGGAGTCGAGTTTGAGGTTTTCTGCTCTCTGGGCGGCTGCGGAGGCTACGGGATGGCAGCAGTCGAACGGAGGCCTCTGTCAGCTATGATTGCAAGGTCATAGAGGCTGGTACGAGTCCATTCAGGTATCCAGGCGGACTGTGACCTGTCGAACAGTGTTTCTGTGTGTCGTGTGGCAGAGGGTGTTTTGTTGGCGGTGGTCGTATAAAGGACGAGGCTCGCCCGGGGGCGCTCGGTCGATGGCGGTTGGACGAACTTCACCGACTTCCGCGATCAATTAACGTCGGAAAAGACGGGTGGAGAAGGAGAGGGACATGCATACGACGGGGAAGAGGTGCAGCGGCAGAGAAGAAACAAGGCCGGCGAGCAGGCGTAGGGAGGGAGGTCGAGGTTCTGGATTTTTATGTTGCTGTCGATGTTGTTGTTTTCGCGGGAGGATCAAACAAAGTAAGAGAAAAATAAAATAAAACAATAAAAAATATAAAATAAAAAACCCGCTTCTCCTGCAACCCCCCAAAAGCAAAGAGAAGGGAGCCGTGAGCAGGGTCCCTTTTCGGGAATCTTTTTTTTTTTTTTTTTTTTTTCTTTTTCTATATATAGGCCCTAGTGCTCGTCTGCGAGTTATTCGTCTAGCAGCGCCTGCAGGGAGCGACAAGGCTGGGATCCATTTGCAAGGAGCGCGAAGAGCGAGAAGAGCGCAAGGAAGGGAAAAAAAAAAAAAAAGGAGACGCAGGGAGAGAAGAAAGACGAGGATGAAGACGAAGAGATACGAAGGCGAGACGTTCTTATTATATTATTATTATAATTAGCAGCAGCAGCAGCAGCAGCGGGCTCGTTTATCGATAGCTAAATTGCTAGCTAGTCAACTAGACACGGGGTGCGGCTGAGCGACACGAAGTGCTTCTCACTGTCTTAACTAGCTGGTTTGAGGGCTTCCCGTCGGGGATCTCAAGGCCGGCGGACCCTTTGGGGGGGGGAGGGGGGAGGGTTCGTAGGGGTTGTCTAGGGAACTCATAGGGGGGAGTTTAGGGGGGACGATGGGCGGGACGATGGGGGCGGATAGGGCCTAAGTTCAGTTAAGGCCGGCGGGCTCCAGTTAAAGGCTCCAGTTAAAGCCCAGCTAAGGCCAGCGACAGCCAGGTAAGGGCCGGGATGCGCCACACCCTCCATGACGGACGGTTGACGGCCAGCAGGCGAGCAGAAAGAAGCCTGTCGGATTCCCAGCATCAGGCAGCAGGCCAGCAGCCAGGACAAGAACGAACCCGGTGTCAATCATCTGCGCTGCACGAGTATGTACTTACAGCAACTCTCTGCGCCTCGGACTGATGCCGCCCTCCTGTCTCCTGTCCACTCATGCTATTACATCTCTCGACCTCTCTCCCTCCATTGACAGACATCAAACGCGAAAACCGCTGCAGCAGACAACAAAAACAATCCACGGGGGAAAGAAAAAGAACTCAAGGCCGTCTTTGGCCGATGCAGGCTGGTCCACTCTGCTCGCTGCCCTGCGTTGAACGATGACTTCACTCATGTCACAGAGCCAACATCATCGGTTGACGCGGTCCCCCAAGTTCAGCCAACCAGCCAGCCAGCCAGTCCATCCGCCATCCACCATCCGTCGTTCCTCGTCATCTTCCGTCGTCCTACGAGCTAAGTGAGGGGGAAAAGCCTTTTGCTTCTCCGCAAGATTAACTTGGGCCGGAAGGATTGGAGAGAAAGAAAAGCAAAGGGAGGAGACAACTAGTTTTAGAGAAGGCCGCAGGGCGAGATAGGGAGAGAGAGAGATCCCGTTCGTGGGCAAAAGAAACGAAAGCGAGGCCAGTCCAAGTGAGGTGCAGCCGCAGCGTCTCCCCACTCTCATGCATGCTGTAGATGGAGGGACATCAATGGAGGGGCTTTACTTTGTTTATGGGACGCTGTCTCAAGACGCACGAAGCGAGAGAGAGAAGAGGCATAAACTATGCAAGATGTTATATGGATAAAGGGACACTCCAGTCATGTCGACATGGCTGGTCTTTATTGGCAGGGAAACCCCAGACAAGCCACACCGGAGAAAGACACCCTCTGATACGGACGGGCGAAGGGCCAGGCAGGGGGGGTTGACGAGGATGGCGAATGATGCATATATCTTGAATTCTCTAGTCTGCGCGTTTCCCACCCCCGGCTCTTGTAAGATGGATATCGCTTTCTTGTTCCTTGGACCGGGTTCGAAAAGGTCATCGGGCCACCGCTTAGTCGTTAGTATTATAAGTTAATACTCAAAAAAATTCACTACGGCTTGAGGCTGGAGATATCTCGGCGAAGGTCGATGCTAGATCTACATCAAAAACAGAAAGGAAAGAGGGGAGAAGATCATTTTGGGAAATCTCAAAGGATACCGTGGGATATCGTTTTTATATCTTTCAATAATGGGAAATGTTGTTATATTAAGCAGTGCAAGTGGCTAACCAGATGCCAGATTTATATAACTATGTATACCATTCATACATAGAAAAGGCTCACATGGACTATCAAAAACAACCGCCCCCCAAGTCAGCCAACAAGTCTCTCTTGCAACAGAAAAGATCATGAGCAGCAGCTTACCTGACTTCCAATGCTTCCTGGGGATCATTGATCACCAAACCTACTTCTTCTCCTCGGTTGGCTTCTCCTCGCCCTTCTGCTCAGACTTGGTGGCGCCCAAGAAAGCAGTCTGGGCAGTATCGATGCCTGTTATGATAAGAATCAGTCATTGAACGGTCTCCTTAGCGCTGGCTAGCTGTGGTCAAGTTATCTCACCCTTGTTGATGTTGTCGTTGGCGCCCTCGCCAGCCTTGAGGAACTGCTTCTGACCAGCATCGATACCTGCAACAACACATCCCCATTAGCATACGCCTACTCAAAGCCACTAGCAGGAGAAGAACAGCGTACCCTTGTTGAGCATATCGTTCTGGCTGCTGCCGCCCTCCTTGCTGCCGCCACCGGTCATCTTGTTGACGAAATCCATTGTGATTGGAAGGGTGTAGTTAACGACGTGTAAGGTCTTTTATATGGTAAGGGTAAGATGCGAATATCTAACAGCACCAATGGCAATGTTAGTTAGCTCTGCAAGCCCGACAGCTGGATCAGGGGCAAGGTTGAACACAACCACTCACCGAAACAGATGAATTTATCTTGATTTTTTGAAAGATTTCCAGCTCAGGGGGGGAGGAAAGGGGGCCCAGCACCAGCTTAAATACTTCAGCAAAACCCACCAAGATGGAACCGAGCAGATTAGTTGTGCTAATCTCCCACCGAGTTCCAATGCTTAGTTTACGGAGTAAGTACCGTCACATAACTTCCCTTCTCACGATCAGGGCATCGGGCCATCCGGTAGGAAAGGGAGGGGCAAGCTCGCAGTACCCCCGTATACCCAGCAACATACTTCCGTAGCGTACCGTATAACTGGCTTACAGAGGGGTGAAGATGCCGTCAAGCCATCGCCACCGGCAGCACGCAGAGCCTCGATTCGATCGATTGAACACATGCATATCCCTTGCTTCTGATTCCTCCCGTCTCCCTGCAGCAAGCCACAGGCGTTACATGGGCATGGGCATGGGCATGGGTGTTCTTTTCCTCGCTTCCCGCTGCTGGCCGGTAGTTCGACAAAATGTACAGGACGTACGTCCCTTCGCTGCCCCTCTCTGCCCCTCGTCAGGTCGCAGTCGCATGATAGATCAGCGTGGGGACCAAGTGGCTCAGCAGCGCTGTGATGGCCTTCGTCACTGGCTGGTTGGGGAGTGCTTGTTGGGCTTGTTGCTTCCCCGGCGGGCCCTCGAGTGGGAGATGAAACCATTCAGCGATGCAGACGAGGCTGCGATCGACGGGCAGCGCTCCGGACTCTGCGCCATCAGCGCCGTGGCTTGACGTCATCTGTGGCCCGCTGGTGGATGGGGATTCAGAACATGAATAGCAACCACCAAGGTATGGCGGGATGCAGCGAGCGAATATTTGTATAGGAGGGGGGGGAAAAGGCAAGTGTATTCCGTATATATATTTGACATTCAAGGATGGATGGAGGTTGGGTATATTATTCATTATCGTATTAATCCTATCTTTCCCATAACTATGTATGTGCAAGCTCCGAAATAACCCACGCTGTGTATATGTAAATTATGGAAAACCCTAACTATTGAAGACAAAGTGCAAAGAAAAGAGGACCAGGAACCGTCGTCGAAACACCAAACACATATCAAAAGCTGAAGAGCTCGCTTCTCCTTTTTCCCTCGGGATAAATAATCAACGCTGCAAGAAATAGCCCAACCGTTGTGGAAATGCTCACTTGAATCATCGCATATGCTAAATCAAAAACAACATCACCGTACACTTTGTTCGTTCCAATCCGGGCTGCTAGATCCTGGAAAGCTGGATCACCAGGGTAGCCAGACCCACCAGGATGGCCAGCCAGAGCAGATGCTATTGCTGTCGTGGCTGCGGAGGTTGCACTTGCTATCGTTGAACTTGCAGTGCTCATCGTCTGGTTAGCAGCTGTCTGCTGGCCTGCTGAGTTGGCCTGGTTGGCAAACGCAAGACCAGAGACCAGAGATCCGCTTGCTGCCAATCCGGAGGGCACCTGGACCAGTATTCCTGGTAGCATGGCCGCGGCAGCCAGGCCGTGGCCAAGTCGACTGTAGAGATTGCCCATGATCCCGATGGCAAAGGCGCCCATGCAGTTCGCTATCTGTAGGTTATGCGGGAACGCCTTGCTGGTAAAGAAGTTCACCAGATAGCCGATAAAGGAGAAGATAGCCATGACAGGCACTTGCTTCCATTTCGCTTGGTTAATCAGCGTCAGACAGATGGTGAATGCTATCACGGACGGGAAATTATGGGCATATTCGTTTCGGTTGGGGCTGGTAGGGCAGATATACGCTGAACTAGCGTTGTGGTCGATTTTGCCGTAGAAGGTCGTGCCCAGCATCATTCCAAAACCAAGTACAAGGGAGTAAATAATCGCATAAACCAGTCGTACCGAGCCGGCGAGGATATTTTGCGACTGTAGCTCGAGACTGCTGCACAGGACCATGAAACCTGGTAGTATAAGGGCGATAGAGGACTGTGCGAGCGCAGGAAAACAGAAGAGACGATCATCACCCGGGCCATGTCGGATGCTTCCAATGGCACGAGAGAGGAACGAAAGGAGCAAGGCGGCAGTGAGCTCGAAGATATTGGCATATAGACGAGAACGTGGAACGGCAATGTACTTGAGCGCTCCCAGTATACAGCCAAGGGCAAAGGAGACTGGGAGATCAATCACACGGCCAGTGAACGCAAAGGGTCCAACAGCAGCACTGGCAAGCCCAAACAGAAATATCAATGTCAATACGTTGTATCTTGGTTTCTCAGTCTTGACTTCTTCCAGGAGCTGCATTGCTTCCTCAACGCCAATCATATCGTGCACCACGTCTTTGTATATCTGATGGACATCTTGTAGCTTGCCCAAGTCCACACCTTGGTCACAACGCTGCAGTTTCAAACTGGTAGTGTGTGTGGACGAATCATTGAATGAAACGAACATGCAACCAGGGAGATATAGGAACTGGGCATCAAGCTCAAGCACACGAGACGTCATTCTTAGACACTCCTCGAGACGATGAGTTGGTGCTCCATAGGCCATCAAGGCCTCGCATAGCTTCTCAAGGTACCGTTGTCGAGAAATGGTCTCCGCAATATGCACTGTGAGACGAATTTCATCTTCTAGACGTGGTTTATTGCATATCTTCTTGACTGCATTGACCATCAAGCCGCTGCTTCGAGATCGTTTAAGCTCTGGCCGTCCTGCGGATCCAGCGCCTGAACCACCTCCGGTCAAAGTGGCCTCCGAGCCGAGAGTGTTAAGTGACAGTGCGGAAGGATTTTTGTTTTTCTCATACCATTTCGGCCGGGGGGTAGATTTCCCCGGTGTTGTTTTTCCCGATGTGGGAGCACTATGGGGTGCAAGGAGAGGAGAGGCATTAGCTTGCGACGTTGGAACCTGCTGCTGAGATGTACGGTTTGCTTCTGCCTCGTGAAGTTGGCCCAATCGAAGAATATCTGTCAGAATACTTCGCCCATGCTGTACAGGTGGTGACTGGGAACCGCTGGACTGTGTATCGATAGAATAATGCCGCCTGTCCTTGGGTTCCGCTTTGGCGCGAATATTCTTCACAATTTCGCTGGCTTCCTCAGCACGAAGTGTGAACTGCCGTTCTCGGTCGTGCTCATGCTCATAGGCTGTTTTGGATCCAGTCCTCGACCGCCTCAAATAATGTCGTCCTTCATGACGGGGCTCAATTAGATCCTGCGATAACGATTCCTCATCGGACCTCCGGCGACGATGGAAATATGATGCTCTTCGAACCTGTGAAGCGAGACTTTGAGCCTTCTCGTAAGCTGTCTGGATTGCCCTGTTTTTGGTTTTTGAAGATTCTGTTGACTGGGCTTCTGATATTGAGTCCGGAGGCCTTCCAGGGCTGCCAAGGGGGGTCACAATAGGGCTTGCTCCCGGGGAGGACTGTGCAGAGAGTGAATCTCGAGTATTGTACATGGGGAGGAAGTCAGAGGACTTGAATGTAGGAAGGGACGGCCGGTGGACAAACGCAGGCACCTGAGGCTCAGAGGGAGGAGAATTATCCATATAATCTCGCAGAGGGATGTCTTCCGGACTCGCGTCCGATCCGTCCGACCCAAGAGTAAATTGAACTCGGTGGGAAGGTCGTCCCCTGGTCTCACTGCTGTCACTTGTGTTGCTCATATCTCTGACATGGATTGCAGGGCCCAGTCGGGGTGAGGTTTTTGGCGAAGGCTCCTGCTGTGGCCGCCGTTCTGAATTAGGGGCAGCATAGTTGCTCGATGTAAATGGATTGGAGTTGGGGAAGTGTTTTGGCTGGCGAGGCCAGTCTGCCATAATCGGCAAGAGTAGTTAAGAATAGAACTGCGGCACAGTGAGGAAGAGTTGTGAAGTCTCAACCACACAGTAGCAGGAAAAAAACAAGATAATCAGCTGCGGTAGTGTTAAACATTTAGTCTGGGTGTCTTATCAGGTTGATTCGGGTATATGTTGAGGAGAAGTGTGTGCGAGAATCAAAATAAATAATGAGCAAAAGAGGCAGAAACTGAAAAACTCGATCAGCAGGATAGCAGCTGTCCTGTCTATCAGTCACTGCCATCGGTCTAGATGGCGTTCCATGTACCCGTTCGCCACAACCGTCGCAAGGAGCAGTTATAGATGGACAAACGGGCTTGTAGCGCAAAGAGTTTGAAAAGGAAAAGAAAAGAGAAAAAAAAGAAATACCGCTTAGCATGCAGTGGGGCCGCGCAGACAAGTGAATCCCAGGAATGGGATTACAAGCGCACCAAAGCACTCAGTAGTAGCCGAGTGATAAGGCCGTTATAGTAGGTCCAAGCTGATAAGGGTCAAATGCGGTATCTCCGGTCGACCCGGGCGGGTCATACAATTCTACTTACCAGAGCTGAATGGTTGCACACCGATTGTATCGGGCCCTGGAAGCTTGCGTGGAAGACCCTGCGCATTGGCCAACATTGATAGATCAGCAAATCCGACGATTCGCCCCAGTGGTAGCAGGGATTTGATATCATAATATATGATAACAGAGCTTCGTACCTTGAGGATTCCAAGGAAGCTGACATATACCGGGAATTGACTGGATTAAAACTGTCCCGCGGCTAGATGGCGAATTCCCTGCCACACATTTCCACACGGGGTCATAAATGGAGCTTTTCTCCGTAGCTATAGATATCAGTTCCACCGAAGCAGAGACTTTCGCTCCACTGATTAGTCTTGATGCCCAAGCTCTTTGAGACTCTAGGTCCCTTATCTCGCATCCTGCGCGTTTTAAAAAAAAATTTCCTAGGACAACCCAACAAATATAGCACGGAGTACAAATATAGCTCCTGCACAGCTGTGTGCGGTGGCAACGGGGGGGTGAGGGTCTGACTTTCGGCAGTTCAGACGAAGGTTAGTTTGGA